TCATGTTGCGATTAATTGCTAATGCTTTTATTACGGTATACGCTATTATCACGATATTGAAATTTAGTTTAAAAAAAAGTGCTGTCATAATACATTATAATAGATTTAATAACTTTTTTCTTATAACAAAAATAACTGAACATTTAAATGCAATAAAGCAATACAGAAAAATATATAAAGTTAAAAGTTTTACACAGATTAAAGTGCAAAAGAACTATAAAGACCATTAGGTATCACTTTACAATAAGACCTCATTAGTTAACCTTAGTTAATGCATTAACATTCACAATGAGCAATAGCTACATTTGCTACAGAAGTTATTAATCTTTGTTTAAAAAAATACAAGTCTTTGTTCATGTTAGCTCATTAAATAACACAGTTGCAACTTTCGATTTTAACAACCTGTTATTAAACATTGGAATACCTAAGATTAATGAATGTTCAGAAGAATTTTTAATTGCCAGTTTATGTTAACTAATGAAGCCCTAATGTAAAGTGTGACCGAACAATAAAGAATCAAAACACTTTCAAACAATATCTAGGGCATGTTGTAGTCCAAATTAAAATGTAAAAAAAGTTTGAAAATAAATAGCCTATTAAGTCTAAATATTTAAGTATTTGGCACTGTGATGAACATCATAGCAAATACACAAATCTGAATGTCTGTTAAAATCATTTAAACACGATTCAGAAACAGAAAGTAGTGCAGCTGCTTTGGTTACAGGGTTTCCGGGGTAACGGCTGCATTTAAATGAATTATTATTATTATTATTTCTGCAGTTTAGCGCCATCTGCTGACAGAGAGTGAAAGTGCGCTTTCATCCAGAGCGTCTCTCACATGTTCCGCATGCGCTTCTCGTCCGCGCTTGTTTACATCAGAGTGAGCACGTGTCTTTCACACAGCATACAGCGGTGTTGTGCATTTTGACCAGTTGATGGGAAAAGTATTCTTAAAATGCATTAAAAATTCTGAATAATTTGTAATATATAATTATTCACGCTATTTAGAATTGCCCACAATAACAATATCGTGGATATTCATTACCGTGATATATTACCGAAATACCGGCACAAGTCATAGCAAAGTCCATAAAATGCGTTGCACAAATTCGAACATCTGGGTTGTGCTGTTCTGTTGTAAATAAATCTTAACCAATGATTCCTAAATGCATCTACTTCCGGAAGGCCAAATAAAGTTGGCTGTGTCTGTGTTCTTTAATGTGCGCATTGTCAGTAAATCACACGCAGAAAGCAGGAGGAGTGGAGTCCCGAAGCGACAAATGGTCGACGACTGACTAAGGCAGAGCTGGAGGGATGAGGAAGCCCGGTGGAGCCAGTGGGATGATTGGCCACGGTGGAGACGAGGGAGCTAGGAGCCAAGGCAGAGCCGACGGGTCACAGGACCAAGGAGGAGTCCAGGGCTCGAAGGCTGGAGACGGAGACAGGGAATCCACATGCCTTGGCGGAGCTGGAGACTGGAAGTTGTGTTATATTGCGTGAATTAAGTTAATTAATGTGAAAATTCCACCTACTCAAAAAAAAGTCTGTGGTTAACTGACTTATTATGAAAATAAAACAAGGTTATCAAAATTATATTGTTGGCGTTTCTGAGGTAAATGTTGTTATGACTGCTATTCACTATTCACAAGCTGTTTTATTGACGATTTTTGAAACACTGATTGAACGATTACATGAGACATTTGTTTTATTAAGTTGTTCTGATTTTTTCAGGTGAATACAGTGATCTCACGCCACATTAAAGAGCGGAAAAACACATTAATTGTTTGTATTTTCCTGATGAAATTTACACAATTTAAAGGCTACGATTTGTGTTATATTAAAGGTAACACAACACGTTTTTTTTGCGATTATTGGGTGGCTGGCTCACTACAAATAACGAATAGACTTGTTTTATTTACCTGCAGAAAAGACAACAATAAGGAGCATTGGAGGCCACATTAACCTATAACATTTGGGAGAGCCCATACAAATGTTTTAGCATATGGGCCTTGGGCTGACTTGCTACGCAACTGAGCTTAAATAAGTTTCTTAGCATGGTTTTCATTTTAGTGATCATGCAAGTCAGGAGTTTAACTAGTTAAATAACTCTAATGAGGAATCTTTATTAATATTAAAATATTCAAAGAGAACAACCTCAGTGAGTAAATCATTAAAAAAAATTAAAATAAATCACATCCATTGTCATGATACTCACACAGGGTCAAAGGTAACAGCAGCTCCATCACTGAGATTAGGGGGCTCAAACATGGAGTTGTTACTCTTCATAGACACACAGCTGAATCCTGGAGATGCTGCTCTCTGAGCGTCAACATCACTGAGATTAGGGGGCTCAAACATGGAGTTGTTACTCTTCATAGACACACAGCTGAATCCTGGAGATGCTGCTCTCTGAGCGTCAACATCACTGAGATTAGGGGGCTCAAACATGGAGTTGTTACTCTTCATAGACACACAGCTGAATCCTGGAGATGCTGCTCTCTGAGCGTCAACATCACTGAGATTAGGGGGCTCAAACATGGAGTTGTTACTCTTCATAGACACACAGCTGAATCCTGGAGATGCTGCTCTCTGAGCGTCAACATCACTGAGATTAGGGGGCTCAAACATGGAGTTGTTACTCTTCATAGACACACCGCTGTATCCTGGAGATGCTGCTCTCTGAGCGTCAACATCACTGAGATTAGGGGGCTCAAACATGGAGTTGTTACTCTTCATAGACACACAGCTGAATCCTGGAGATGCTGCTCTCTGAGCGTCAACATCACTGAGATTAGGGGGCTCAAACATGGAGTTGTTACTCTTCATAGACACACAGCTGAATCCTGGAGATGCTGCTCTCTGAGCGTCAACATCACTGAGATTAGGGGGCTCAAACATGGAGTTGTTACTCTTCATAGACACACAGCTGAATCCTGGAGATGCTGCTCTCTGAGCGTCAACATCACTGAGATTAGGGGGCTCAAACATGGAGTTGTTACTCTTCATAGACACACAGCTGAATCCTGGAGATGCTGCTCTCTGAGCGTCAACATCACTGAGATTAGGGGGCTCAAACATGGAGTTGTTACTCTTCATAGATACACAGCTGAATCCTGGAGACGCTGCTCTCTGAGTGTCAACAGGAGCCTCCTGATTTCTCTCCTCATACACACTCATTTTACATGCTGTTCTTCTGCTTCTCTTCTTCCTAGATAAGAAACTTGATTTCAGGCCTGTATGTGGAAACAGAGAAATTAAGTTAAGTTTCGTTGTTGCAGTCATTGACGCTGATGTTCATACTCAGTCAGAGAAACTGTCGCTTGAAACTTTAGCCCGGGTTTCCATGGTTCATAAAATTACTGACATTTAATTTAAAATGTAACTTTTTTTTCTTAGTATTATGCAACAAACTAATCACACAGTAAACATTTGTGGTTGTTTGAACATCCTACAATGATGTAAAAGTGTTAATAATTTTAGCAACGGAAAATGTGAAACACTAGCAGGCCTTTTAAGTTCATGTCAGCTCTCATTCCGAATGCTCATCAAGCGTCAACTCTAATGGCATCTCAAACACCAGTTTTTTGTAAGTTGATTTGCTAATGTACAGTATGTGGAAAATAATGTGTTTTTTTAACCTTAAACCACAAACACATTTCATTACACTAAATACACAAAATAATGTTTATTTTAGCAACACCATATGACCCCTTTAAACATACGATTGCGACAATATATGGTTTATTTGTGTTTGTCAAGTCATCTCCAGGTAATAAATAATGTATATGAACAAGGCAGTGCTAATTGACATAGCATTTATTACAGTATAGAAACTATTCTGCCTTATTATGTGATAAAAGTGTTTGTAGTATATAAACAAATCATTATTATTGGTCACTGTCCAGCAGTTCTAAGCCAATTAAAAGCTAGACAAATCATAATAATTCATAATAATGTCAGACCAAGCAACCCCAACATATATAATATCAAATAATGAAATAATACAGTACTTTTTACTCGATTAAAATGTAAAAGAAGTACTTAATTTATTATTTTATTTTAATATTATTTTATTAGGGTTTCAGTACTTTTACTGAAGAACTTGAGTTTGTGTAGGCCATGATTTCCAAATTGGTTTAGCGTGAGTAGGCCTATGTGATAAAAACGGAGAATATAACGGCCATTAGTTTTATATTATTCTAATATAAAAGGAATGAACCGCAGTGCTGAACTTTTAGGTGTGTTTGATCAGGATTGCGGAGACTCGCACAGAAAACACTAGGCCTGAGGATGGGAACTGTCCTAACCGCGCTGCTCTTCTCGTCGCTATCAGGAGAATAACGACCATCTTTATCGTGTTTGAGTTCGACAAACGGTCTGTTTAGACACAAAAGGTACTTACTGATATTACTGCTGTGAGCCGTTTTAACGAACTTACCGTAACATGCGAAGACATCGTTGATCTCGACTCATCTAAAATGGCGTCGATCCAGTCTTCGGGTCGCTTTCGGTTTCACTTTGAGTCACGTGACTTCCGCTTCATCTGAACTGAACATAGACAGGTATTTATATGTCTATGGGACTGAACCTGATGGGGTTAGAAGCCAGGCTACGTGCTGTGCTAGCTATGCCCGAGCGGCAACCTCCCGCTCTCTCTCGTGAAGCCAACAAGGAAGTGACTAAAACTGTAATTCATCAGCTGGCCGCTAGAGGCTGGCTGCAAAAGGGAGTCAATCCCATAGACACCCCATGTTAAAATGCCCAACTTTACAGCAGAAAAAAACATGTTTACAGCCTGGTTCAAAACATTATTTTGGTCTATATAGCTAATTTCGCCCTTCATGACAACTGTGAGGGGGGTGATTTTTTTTTATAACTCATCCGTTTAAATTATATTAAGCCTTAAAGTTCTGCATAATTAAGGGCGTGGCCACTTGAGTGACAGGTGGATCACTTTTTCTACCTGCCAGATACATTGACATGAGTGAAAGAGCAATGTGAGACGCCTGATGTTTGTGAGGTATTCATGCAATAAAAGGTGGATTTAAACTGTGAAATTACATTTACAAATATAAAAAACGTCCTATTTTACTCATGGCTTTTTTCGAAAATGTAGAACATTGTGATTTGGACATGATCTAGTTGTGTTTCAAATGATGAAAACAGTTAGTTCGATCACATAAAATGTACACACTGCACCTTTAATAATAATTCCAGCAGAGTGATCTCACTTAATTATCATAATATTTAAGATATATAAATGCACACATGGAATCATCGAATAACACCCTCATGAATTACATTCAGTAGGCCTTTTAACTTTAAAAAATAACCCTAGTAACATCATGATTTTCTGTGGTTGCTAGGGTGTTGCTAAGCAATAGAGTAGTTACTAGGCACTGAGATGGTTACTTGATAGATGAATCTGTATTTTAATAGAGGGGGGAGATAACAAGTCTGGATGGCAGAGAAGTTTAAAATAACATATCTGACACATCTAATATTTCAACACTGTTTGGACTGGATTAATGCATGGATCAAGTCGTTCATTTGTTTATACGTTCGAACATTTGTTTGTACCTCTTTTGTACTTGTAGGCTGTTCATCCTGTCATAAGACTGCAAGTCGACCGGTCGTAACGGAGGTAAGATGTATGTAAAACCTTCTGTTAAGATATTGTTTAATTCTGCCTTTATTTATTTTCAGTGTAAGCCTGGTATCCAAGATGTGGATTTTCATCAACGTATTTTCTAATGTACCAACAGCTTATCCTCGCTGCCAACTTTTCTTCAACAATGAAATCCAGAGCAGCCTAAAGAAAAAACAAAAAGAAGTTTGTTACCGAGTTTGTTACAGCAGAACATGAAGAAGTGAGGAAGCTGAAGACTGATTTCACCTTTGCCAGGTGAGCTGCTACACCTTTACCCCTGTGTGCTTCAGGAACCTCTGTAGAGATCAACTCCACCTGCTGATCCTGACTGACGGTGTATTTCAGCACTGCACTGCTCACTGCTCCTGATTCACACGACAAGGGGAATTCACTTATTATTATTAATAGGATTGTTGCTGTTATTGGCATAAAATCGCATGAAATTTAGTCTCATAACCCATAGGGCTGCCTACCTAGTGGTCACCGCGATGTGAACCATCTGTGTTTTGATGGTCAGAATGCTGTCTAAATAGGCAGCTCACTGTGTTTTGAGACACAACATCAGAATTAAGTTATTTTCTCTTACCGCCGCAGTCAAGAGTAACTGTGAAACGCTGATTCTGTCTATCGTGTATCACACATGTATTCGAGAAGTTAGTGCATCC